AGAATCCATTGCTGATGCCTGCCCCAGGAGTGAAGCGGTTGGCTCAATCTACCTCGTCTTTTTCCTATAATACACTTGACTTAGCATCATCCCAGAACATTGTGGGAAATTGGAAGGTGGCCCAAGACATTTTCTACCTGAAGCGAAAAACAAGCAAGCATCTTCCTATCCAGATTTACAGTTCAACATTACTTCTACATTGCCTCCTCCATTCCAACTAAAGGCAGCAACTTAGTTTATAGGCACATGGCAGGTTGTGTGGTACACATAATGTTGTGTTCCAGTACTTTAAGGTAAAGGTAAAGGTATTCCCCATTGACAAGGTTGTCAAGTCGTGTCCGACCGTAGCAGGCGGTGCTCATCTCTGTTACCAAGCCAAAGAGCCAGCGTTGTCAGAGACTACTCTGTGATCATGGGGCCAGCAGGATTGCACAGAACGCTGTTTACCTTCCCACCAAAGTGGTACCTATTTCTCTACTTGCATTTGCATGCTTTTGAACTGCTAGGTTGGCAGAAGCTGGGACTAGTGACGGGAGCTCACTCCATCATGCGGCACCTGGGCCTTGAACTGCCAACCTGCTGATGTTGCAATCAACAGAATCAGCATCTTAACCACTTGAAGCACTGCATCCTTACAGAGCTGTTAAAGCCTGGACTTAATGATCTCATGGGGGCCACCGTTTCCAGTTTCACGGAACCAAAAATCAGCTGCCTAAAGCATTATCAGACTGCCAGCCTAGTATCTGGCAAAGTATATCTAGAAAATTTTGGTCTAATCATGTCATCTCACTTACCATGGTACTCTTCAGATGCAAAGTATCATTCAGCACAGAGCCAGACTCCCAGTTCCTCACTTTTGCAAAGCGCGGGCACTTGGAAGGGCTTCCGTTCACCAAAGTCTTGGTTGGTGATTGCCGTCCTGAGGGTGGCATCTGGGTGGGTGGGGAGGAAAGGGAAGAGAACACAATATTAAACCACTACATTCCATCTGGTTAGAGATAAGCTAATATGTAGGACTGATGCCATCACTCAAGCTTTGAAGCTGGCACAGAGCACAAAAAGTGCAGCAATCAGAGAATTTTGTTGCCATCTTTCTCAGATTCTTGGTCCTCAAGACTGCACAGATAAGCTTGAAAGCGTAGGTGGAAATGCCCACTGAAAATCTAGTGAGAGAAGGGCTGCCAAGAGGATAGGCAACAGCTGAATGGTAGAACACCACCCCTAGTATTTCTAATTTGATTAGTAGGACTGTGAGAGACTGCTACCAGACAGAATACCAATGCCATTTCCTCAGATGTCTCAGACTACAATCCCCATCATCCTGACCAATGCCCATGTTGACTGAAGCTGATAGGAGCTATCGTTGGAAGCATCAAGAGAACAAGAGAGATTGCCATTTTTAAATATCTGAAGGGATGTCATGTAGAAGATGGAGCAAGCATGTTTTAGGACATGAGCCAATGGATTCAAATTACAAGAAAAGACATTCCACCAAAACATTAGGAAGAATGTCTTTACTTGTAAGAGCTGCTTGACAGTGAAATAAATTGCTTCAGAGGGTGGAGTTCTTTAAACAGAGGTAGGATGGCTGTCTTTCAGGAGTACTTTAGCTGTGTATTCCTGCATGACAGGAGGTAAGACTAGGTGCGATTCCACCCTTAGCATACTATACTACCAGGTTGGGGAAGTGTGTCCATGGGTTGGGTGACTTCAAGTTGTTTCTGACTTATGGCAACCCTAATCATGGGTCTTTCTTGGCAAGATTTGTTCAGAGGAGGTTTGCCATTGCTTTCCCGAG